GGTACTTTGTTACCACCATTCTAGGAAACTACTCCAAATAAATTCTTACATCCAATTGTCACAACTTTGCTTAAGAGAGAAGTATTGTTGTTCTCTTTTAGATCAAAATACACTTAAGACACAAAAATTTAAGCAACTTGACAAGATCCCTTGAGGTCTGATTCAAACCCAGGTCTTTTCTGCTTGTACAGCTGTGCTATTAATCTGCTAACTGAAGAGTTAAACAAATTCCATGTTGTTTAGATTTCCCAGTCTTTCTCAGTGGAGATGCCATAAGATAAAACTGAGGAGTGCTTTACAGATATCAAGTGGTAGCATTAGCCCTGAAGGCTCTCTGTAGTATGCTGTTGTGATCTACCATCCAATCAGGAACAGTTTTAAGAATGAAAATTACATTGCTTATAATTACACTCAGACTAGACTAGAACCCTAAACAAAGTTTGTTTTGAGCAAATCAAGGTTTATAGTCAGTCTAATTTTTAACTCACTCTTCAAAGTCTCACCCCATGTTACTAACCAGAAATGTCACTATAGTGCCTCTACAAGCACGGTAATATTTCAAAATATATTAATTAGCAATAATCATAACAAAGTGTCACGAGAACAAAATTGTGTTTAATGAATAGTAGATTGATTATGCCAGATATTTACATGAATAATGTTGTAAAATAATTAATCCATGAAAAAGAATGCATTTTGATTATTTACCCCAAAGTATCTGAGCAGTCTTTCTAGACTTTTCAAACCATGAGAACCTCTACCTCTAAAAAGTTAAAAAAAAAAAAAAAAAGGCAGATCTTCTTTGAAATGCTGAATATTAGTGGTCTTTTTGTTATAGCAACTAAGCCAATATGCTAATACTGTGTAAATCATTTTTATGATACAAAATTATTCTCAATAAGAGATAACTATTTTCTAAAATTTAGGACGAATAAACTTTCCATAGAAATGTGTATTGACAGTTATTATTTTTGGTATCAATCTAATTTGAAACCTCATAATGTCAGAAAAGAGTTAACCAGTTATTAGGAAAAGCTTTCTAAATTCAGATTTCTCTCCAGAAAGAGCCTTCCTTGAGTATTTCAATAAAAGTTAGGTGCTCTTAGAAGTCAGTTGGATTGGACTGTAATCAAATCATGAAGAAAAATACTCAGGGGTATAATGTATTATCTATATAATTATACAGTCCTGTTTTTAAAAAAAAAAAACTCAAATTAAGGCTCTCTATATTCCTAAAACTCTGGTTTCCATGACCTCTGCCTGAGGCTGATACAGACTCACTAAAACTGTTTAAATGTGAATATGCATTTATCCAACACACAAAACACTGTATAATCTGACTAAACTGCAGGGTTCTAACACACTGTATTTATCTCTGCATGGGAGGACTTTTGTGAGTCTATGTGTCCTTTAAATTTTCTCACTGAGAATATAGTACTTTGAAATTATGCAAAATAACAGTATTTTAGAAATAATACAAAAGTACTTAGGGAACCTTAACCCTAAGAAAGATCCCTAAATACATGTATAGAAAGATCCTTAAAACATATGGACAGATTTTTAAATATATAGAGAGTGCTTTATCTTACTTATCTGTGTAACAAATAACCTTAACGTTAGTAGTCTAGAATTCAATACACATGCATTTCACATTCTCTGTGGGTCAAGAATTTGTATTCAGCTAGGTTGGGTGGCTTGGCCCAGGGTCTTTATGAGAATCCAGTTAGGAAGCTGTCAGGGCGTGTGGCATCTGAAAGGCTGACAGGGGCTAAAGGACACCCTTCTCCATGTATCTCCTTCACAGGGCATTTGCAGGAGGCTTTAGTTCCTCACCATGTGGGCCTCCCATAAATAGTTGGAATTTCCTTACCAAACCTCAGCTGGGCTCTCCCAAATTGAATGATCTGGAAAGGTAGAAGCCATGGTGAGTTTAAGACAATGTGAAAAATGACATATTCACTTCAATCACATGCTACTCAGAAGAATATTATTAACTCTAGCCCATACTCAAAAGAAGGAGAGTTAATCTTGTGCTTCTGGAAGGGATTATTACTGAATTTGTAGACAAATCACAAGCAGATACATATAATACATTTTTTAAATCCTAGTTTTCATTGAGAGTAGAAATATAATTATTACCAGAAAATCCTTTAAGTCTTTTTCCATTTTTTAAAACTTTCTGTTTTGCTTTGTTTTGTATATAACTTCTCTGGGATTCTTTAAAATTTTTGATGTTTATCATGTGATATTTATTAATAATGTTAATCCTGCTATGCATGTGTCACAGGAAGAATAAAATTATAACCATATTCACTAAATACACAAATGCAAGAGTCTCAGAGAACTTATTAGTAACTTGAGCCCAGTTGTATGAAAAAGTTAACAATTTCCTAACCAAGTTCAATGTATTCCAGATGCAAAGTGATGGTTTAATTTTCAAATAATCTACAAGTACAATTTATAATATTAACATATTACAAGATACAAGCATATTAATATACTACTACATGTAGGAAAGACATTTGATATTTGATAATGTTGAATTCCTGATTAACAAACTCTACAAAGGGCAAAAATAGAAAACAACTTTCTTAAATTCATAAATTATAACAAATATTTTCATTATGGGGAAACTTGGGGAACATTCTCATTTTATTCAGAAATAAAAACAATGTTCATTATGATGGTTAAGAGAGCTGTGCCAATTTGGCTTCTGAGCCACTGAAGAGATTAGTAAATCACACTTCTGCATGTGTGTGTGTGTGGATCACCGAGGCATCACCGTGGTAGTGCATTTGGTCCCTGGGCTCATCCTGTGACACTGAATCCCCGCTCTGCTTCCCACCACCATGAGGTGAGCAGCTTTTCTCAGCCAAGCCACTCCATCATGATGTTCTTGCCTTGCAGCCAGCTGGGCATGGACCGAATCCCCTGAGACTATGAACCAAATTAAACCTCTCCTTTGTTAATTTGTTGACTGGCAGGTAGTTTAGTTGCTGCCTCAGAGGCATAAATGACTATAACATATCAGTAAGGAAAAGACTAATAACCACAATCAAGTGTGAAAAGTATGCAAAATTAAGTTCACAAAGAGAATAATTCAAATACTTAATAGAAACATGAAAAGATCCTCTATCTCAAAATAAATCCCAATAATGTTGATTTACACAACTATTTTAAACATTTTAAAATTTGCAAGAACAACACTTTAAAACTACTAAACTCAGTCCTGATATTGACCATGCAGAATAATAGGAATTTTGCCTCTGCTGATGGAGTATAATTGGTACTATTAATTTGTAGAGTAACTCAGAAACATTTAGTGAAGTTGAAAATGTTCATGCTCTATCTAACAAGTTTACCTTTAGAGAAATAGTTACTCTTGATGAGACTGAAACATTAAAACTTCCATCTATTTAGTCAGTTCAGGCTAACTGATCAGCTAAGTAGATAAAATGAATAAACTACCCACATGTACCTATACACATATATCTTGAAAACTGTGTGTTAAGTAAACAAAACTGCCAATGGTAAGATAACACACAATATTATACCTTCCTTGTAAATCTAGAAAACAGATTACAAATTTATATATTGTATACAATGTTATAAATCATCAATAATATATATTGGTATGGCTATATAAAGGAACTAAGTTACTTTTTAAACCAGTTACTGTTGATCACATTATTTTGAGTATATATCACAAGAATATAAACAATACTATTTGTAATACAAAATATTTTTTAAATTAAGCAGTTTTATAAAATTGAAAAATTGCACAAATTGAATATACAATCAAGTGTAAAGATTTTTTAAGTGGATTGTTCACTTACCAAAATCCCTGGCAATTATTTTAAATTTTCTATTAGTACACATATTAACTAAATTATTAAACATAGAAAACATACACATCAACTTCATGAATCCAAGGACTGCGGAGATGATGCAAGGCACAAAGACTGAAAAAGGATAATGGGGTTTCTATTGTAACATTAAATGTTTATTTTCACAATTTGATGAAAGATAACAAAATGTTAGCATTTGTTAATCTGATAGTAGTTAACTCATTTTAACTATTTCATGGTTTTAAAACGTACCATTTTAAATAAATGTCTTTTTAAAATAACCTGTTTAATTAATGATAAGCATTATTACGTTAATACCGTTCTTATTGTCCTTGAAATTATTCTCTATACACTATATCTGTATCTTTGTGATTAAATATCCCTGGCCTCGGTTTCCTCATCTGGTTAGTGCCAAAGGGGAGAAACATAATAACTTTAGGTTCTTTTTGCCTATGAATTTTGGGAGGACACATTCGGATCATAACACATCCTGCCAATTCCATTTGTGCTATTTGTTACCACTTACCCAAACCCTCCTTTCTGGAGAAAACAGGGAAGTAAAAAATTCAAATGTGTTGTGTACACCTCCCAGCTCCACACGGTGACCGTCATCAGTCTGTCCTGCAAACAGGTATGTATGAAAGCTAGGGTTCTTCCTGGCTCACACTCCTAAGTGCAGTGATTTTCCATTTCCCTGTATTCCTCTTTCACCCTTTTAAAGTTCCTTACCTAAATCCAATAACATCTTCTTTTTCCCTCTTTAAATCTTTTTTGACAAGTTACCAGAAAACACAAGCACTCACGGTAATTAAATTGTCTAAAGCCTCAGGACCTTTGCATCTTCAGTGTCTATTGCACATTACTAAGCTCCACCGTCCTCTCTGCAGGAGGCCACCACGCCCCGGCGGGGCACGCGAAGCCAGATAGAGGCGCAGCTGGTGTGGGACGAGCTCGAGTGGGACATCGGGAGTCCTAACTGCGATCGGGCAGGGCCGTGGAGGAACAGGTTATATTTTGCAGCTCCGGAAGGCGTAGCACTTGGTGACCCCGGGCGAAGGGGCGGGGGACGGGGCGCAGGGTGGGCGGAATAGGGCTGCCCGCTCAGAAACGTCGCGCGGGCTCGGTCCGCAGGGGAAGGCACGTCGGCTGGGCTCAGCGGCGTGAGAACGCGCCCCGCTGCGGTGCGCAGGGACCCGCTCTGCGGCGCAGGGAGCTGCAGCGCCCGGGCTGGGGCGGCGCTGACCCGGCGCCCTCCAGCGGCTGCGCGAGCCGGGCCGAGCTGGGCGCTGGAGCCGCGGGAGCCATGGGCTACCAGGGACAGCAGCGCTCCGTCCCGCCGCAGGTAAAGACTCCAGCTCCAGGCAGCAGCTCCAGGCAGTCCTCTCTAGGCTCATTCCTCTTGCAGCCTTTCTGGGGTCTTGGCTTAACACCGCAGAAAGTTATCCAGGAGGGAAAAAAATGCTCCAATCAGACATTTTTCCGCCTCGACAAGCACTTCTTAAAATGCAACGTCTTCAGTTTCGCAGAAAGTGCCTTGTGGGCTCTAACGGACCAGGCACTAGGTGTTCCACCAGCAGCGCTGCTGACCGAGGTCTGCTGCACCGGCGGCCGTGTTATCCGTCATTCGCATTACTGTGTTATCGTTATGGGCATTGCATAATATTATTGATACGTTCGACGAATTCCTCTGCATGTTTGTCAGACACTTTCTGATTTTTTCAGCTTATACATACTTGCTTAATCACCATTTTCTCTGTTAACCTAGGGGGATCTAGACGACCAAGAAACCCTCGTTTCTGAACAGGAGAATAAAGGGAAGTCCTGTCAGTCTGCTGCTGTTTTTAACGTGGTCAACTCGATTATCGGATCTGGTATAATAGGTAAGCGTGCCACGTTCTGTGTGATTGTGGGGTTTTTGTTTTGTTTGTTCCCAAGTGAAAAGACCAAATCTAAGGGGAAAAATCTCAATGAGATAATTGCTATTTTTCTCCCTTAAAAGTCGTCTTTTTTGTTTTTTGTGTTTTTTTTTTTCCTCCAGATTCATTCCCCCACAGCTCAGAGAAATTTCCACACACGTAGTGGAGTAGCACGAAGGAGAGGCTGAAAAATTGGTTTCTTTTTTATGTGTTTTCTGGTTAATTGATAGTTTTACCAAATTCACTTCTCTCCTCTTCCTGACACATCAATTATTACCTGAAATACTTTACTATTATCTTTTCAAAAATCACCAGATATCTGCAAATATTGCAGGTACAGAAGTTTCACATGAGAGGAACAATCTTGTGAAAAAATAAACCTTCAATATTTCCTTACCCATCTATATAATGTTAAATTATGAATTTATGGTGCTTTAATTTTAATATTGTTTAGTCAATAGCACAAATCCAACTTAAAATGCATGTGATTGCTTTTGACAAAAGAGCCACGCGATCAATTAAAAGAAAGAAATGGGCCATATTTTATTAATGTGTCAGAAGCAAGGGGAAAAAATTGGGAAAAAAATTTAAAGTACAATTTTCAGAGGTTATTGTCCTTTTTTTATTGGAAAACATTCCATTTCAAAAAGGAGAAGAAAAACCAAAATCATGTAAACTGCATCACTCGCTGAGATGATAACTTTTTGTTGCATTTTTTGGCATTCCAATCTATTAAAAATTTTGTGCTTATCTGGACAACAAATAGTTGTCCTCAGTTTTACATTTATCCATATATAAACTAAAAACATGATTCACAAAAGAGCTACCTGAGGTGGCGCAGGAGTCAACAGGGACAGACACGTTTAACACTCTGCATCTGTGTGCCATGGAAGGGGGGCAGCTCTGCTTGGCAGAATTCTGGTCAATTCCGGATGTGAGTGCTTTAAATTGATTCTTCTTAGCAACATTAAAAAGTATTATTATGGCCGGTAGTTTTTTCTAAGGAAACCTTTTTAGAAAACAAAAGCTTCAAGTGAAAAAGTTTAGTTTTTATTTTGAATATTTTATTTCCTTTAATCTAAATCCATTTTTCTAAAAATTGTACAAAATAATTTTGTATGCCTTCTCAATTGTATAAAAATACTTTTGCATTCACATTTTTCTTCCCTTTTCCTACATGGCTGCCTCATTTTGACTTCCGGATCAGCTGTTTGATTTTGTTTTGTTTTGTAGCACTAGAGCCTAAACCCAGGACCATCACACTGAGCTACTTCCACCCCCCCACACACCCTACCCCACCCCACCCCCCCATCCCCGCCAACAGGATCTCACTAAGTTGCCAAGTTGCCCAAGCGGGGCTCAAGCTTTTGATCCTCCTGCCTCAGTTCCCACAGGATCAGCCTCTGATAATGTCCCATAATCTTTCTCGCCTATTATCCTCTCAGTTTTCCGTACTACCACATAAGGAAGAACTGGGGTCATTTCTCCGTGTATTCTAGGACATCTGGCACCCTCTTCTTGAAGTAAACTTTATTTAGGTGAACTGCATCTGTCTTTGATTTGCTTTCTAATTTTTATTCCAAAACTCTGTAAACTTGCTCTTTTGAGATATCTTATTTCAGTAACTTTTTAGTCTGAGGCAAACATACTAATATGCATTTAAATTTAGGGCTATCCTTTGTACTTCTTACCACCATGACATATAAATATATACATTTACTTAATATATAGTATTATATGCAGGAATTGGGATAATACTTCAGTATTTCTCTATGTCTTATTAATGTAAGGATTGAGTCATTTTATGTTTTTTCCAGGCCTGCCTTATTCAATGAAGCAAGCTGGGTTTCCTTTGGGAATACTGCTTTTATTCTGGGTGTCGTATATTACAGGTAGGTACTGTCCAGTTGCGTATTCCTGCACCTTAAGTGGCTGTATAATGGTTTCTTCACACATAAGTGTAACCTGCAATTAAATTTCCAAGTTAATTAAGAAGTGCATCAAAGAATCCTAAAGAATTTAAGATTTATGTCTGAGGAGATTTATTTCTCATACTAATCCTTTCCTTCAAACAGATTTTTTAAAGTAGAAGAGCATAATATATTACCAAGCTTAAATCCTTTTCATGTGCCTTTTCACTTCATGCAGAAAGGGCTGTGTGGGAAAGTTAATTTGGAGGTTGGTTAAAATTCAGAGAGGACAGTACTCGGAAAGTGCACAGTGAGCTTCTGTGAGCAGGTGCCTGCAAACGAGCTACTTTGTCCGCTATGCTTGTGCAGGTGGAACTGGAAGCCTGGTGCTCAACTATCAGGCTTTACTGCCTTTCTCCACTTTGCCTGAGTCTGTCCCATTCCCAGCCTGACCCTGATTTTAAATGCAGCATTAAGGTACTACGAAGTCACTTCTCTTCTGCTCCCCTCTTCATGTAATGGACTTGTTCACTCCCTGGTTTTGTCATACCCAGTCTAAATGTAGCCCCTACTGCCCCGAATCCATTTTTCTCCTACTCTAATCCAAGCCCTGACCTTCCAACAGCTCACCTTATAACAAGCACAGCATCTTCCCTCGGCATTGGGATCACTATGAAAGAGGCAGGAACTGTAAATACACGCTGTCTGCAGGGTTGCTCCTTGTGTACCTTCTGTGACCTGTGCACACTACTGTGCACGCTACTACAAAATGCTCCAGCTGCCCCTTCTCTGGAGTGTTGACCTAGGCCTCAAGAGAGCCACCTTTCCGTGAGCCTTTGAATCCTTTACACTCTTCCACTTTGATATTCCCGTAGTTTTCAGTCAATGACTAACTGATAGAAATCCAAAAACCAACTTCCTGGCCTAATGTGGTGCAGCTGGCGTTCCAGAACTTTACCAGCACAATGCCAGGGCATAGCTAGTCTCACCAAAGACCACGTCCTCAGTGAGCTGTTTCCCCTGCCTGATCCTTCCATTCCCTTCAAAGTTATTGGAGAATATGGACCATGGGAATAAATGTATTAGTAATTTACATTGATTACTTAGTAGCATGGGACCAATAGCTCTATGCTTATTAAGAGTTATTAAGAGTTACTGGTATTTAAAAATTGCATTGCACTAGTTAAAACATTGTCAAATTTAAAACTTTATCCAAAGATTCACCCTGTCATTTTTAAATTTCCTGCTTCCTAAATAATCTGAGCTGGCAAATAATTAATTTCCTGCCAGGCATAATACTACAGTTTAAGTGCATTGTAAATGTTTACACACACTGTAAACCAGTAGATAGAAAAAATTAAACAGCATATATCACCAGAGAATTTAAGACTTGCAGTGAATAGTCTGCTGAAACCAAATCATAAGATAAATAGTATAAATAACTTTTTAGCTACAAGTAGTTTCTTTAATTCTGTTTTTGTGTATGTCATATAAATATATAGTTACATAGTATAATGTTGAATTATAAATATTGACAAGAATAATTTTATTTTAATTTGTTTTAAAATTTTATATTTGTCAATGAGAGTAAAATAACTTTTGTTGCCCAAGTATGCTTCAAAAGAAAATTTCACTGTTAAATAACATTATAATTCACTGATAGATTATTTTTAAAATTTTGCCTATCATATATTTACAGAGATCAAAATATTACAGTAATTGATATATGGAATAACTGAGCTTCTTTTTTTTTTTGGTAGTAGTATGGATTGATCTCAAGCCTTCACACATGTCAAGCAAGTACTGTGCCACTGAGTTATAACTCAAGCCTTTTTTATTTTATTTTTGAGACAGGATCTTGCTAACTTGCTGAGGTTGGCCTATATATGCAATCCCCTTGCCTCGACTTCCCAAGTAGCCAAGATTATACATTCTGGCTACCATGTCCAGCTGAAATACCTAAAATTTTTAAGAGAATAATTTGATGACCTGTATTTTACAAGTAGATGAAAGCAAATAAATTTATTATTGACATAACTCTTAAATGGTAACTTTAAGCAATACATATTGAGCTCTCAGAAACCCTCAGCATTCTCATTTCATATGCACAGTTCTTCCCTAAACCTCACAACATTTATGAAATTAGTTGCCTCCTCTCATGACACAGCTCCTCATTGGTTCCCTTCCTTAACTAATAAGCAGCTCTTCAACTTTCCTGTCTTTACCGTCTGTCTTCTTTCTGACCAATCCTCCATTGCTACAAGAATTATCTTTCTAAAAACCTCTATTTCATCTCTGTTATTCCCCATTCAAAGCACCCAACACTTTGTAATGACAAATTTATATTTATTATAAAAATGTATTGCAATCAAATCCCTTCATGATTTGGCCACAGTTTTGCATTTTTAGTCTCATGTGTAGTTACTCTAAGCAGTCACCAGCACTCCTGTGCAGACATTGTCCGTTACATAATCTGACCTGTTCAGTTCCCCACATATAAAACACATACACTGCCTTCGCTTTTCCCATCGAGAGTCCTGTTTTCTAACATTCTTGTCTACCAAGCAAATTGTAGTTCATGCTCTGAACAGCATGCAAATTTTCATTGAAGCATTTTCCAGGCCCCCTCTCGATTAAAATTAATAAGCATAATTGGTATGCCTGTAGAATGTTTTTAAATCTCTTTATTAGGTTGTTTGTTACATTTAGTTAGAATCAGACATCTAGCAATCCTCAAATGCTGACATAAATTTATTCCTCAAATATATGCAGATCATAGTGGGCTAGGCCTTGACCCTGCTGCCAGTATAGAAATAAAGAAAAATTTCCTATGCCAGTATGAAGCTCACAATGCATGTGACAGACAGATAAACACTACATAATGATAATACACTAGGAAAACACCATAATAAAAATCTGTACCCCAAAGCAGGAACTTTGCTTCAAACTAGCTTAAAGAAATAGGAGTATTTTGGGAAGGAGATAGCTCCACTGAGTGTTCAAGAAAACAGTATGTTACTAAAGAAAGTAAGGGAAGGGTACTTTAGGGTACGTGCACACAGAAAATATGTGATTCAGCCTTGCAAAAGTGCAGGCTTGATGCTCAGAGTGGAGAGGGGAAATTGGAGAGGTTTGCAGGAGCAGATATGAAGGCTCTCACATAAAGACAGTGATTATCACTTCCTGAGTGCTGGGTAGGTGCTGAGCATCAGTGCAGCCCCACCGCTAAGTCTTTCTGGATCCATGAGCAAACTGTTCATATTTACTTTTATGAAGGAAAAGATTGTGACTTAATTGGTTTAAAATGATTTCTACAAAGTCTGCAGTTGAGTTATGTGATTAAGTGCATAGATTATGAGGCCAGCCTACCAGGTCCTGAGTCCTGATTTTGCCATTACTAACAATGTAAAAAATCAGAAATAGATTAATTCTCTGGGTCTCACTCTTCTTATTAATTAAATGAGGATGATGTCACCTAGTTAGTGTTACTGCTAACATTAAATTAGTAAATATAGGTAAAGCATTTGAGAAAAGACTTGGAAAATGGAGTGGTGGTGTGAAAGCTTTTGCTAGTGGTTTGTGGTTGTCATCATTATAATCCGACTCCAAGTACAAGGGTTTTTGCCAACCACCATATCCATCCAGTAAAAAAATAAACAAAAACAGCACAACCTCTTGTTTATTTAACCTCTCTAACACATCAGGCATTTTGGCAGATGTTTAAACATAACCAACTCTTCAATGTTGGTTAGTGCTTTGCTTCATAGATAAGACTCAGGAAGGATTACACACTTAACAAAGAATTTTTTCTGTCCATGTAAAAGCATTGGTAGCTTTCCTTGGAGGACTTTAGACAGAAGGCAGTTAGATTTATGTTTTGGTCAGGTCCAATATCAGAATATCTCAGTAGGGAGAAGATGTCAAAACTATCTTGGAGAGTAAGACTGAAGAATGAAAGAATTGTGAGGATATTATTGTAGCAGTCCTGGCTAGAAATACCAAAGCCCAAAGCTCTACATTAAAGCAAGTCAAAGAGATAATTGTCAGTATTTATGATTCAACACTTACTGTATTTAAGGACCAAATAAAATAGAAAGCAATAAACATTGAAAGTCTAGAGAAATTCTCAAGTTGCAGTTAATATTATTCATAGATTAGAGAAACATGGATGGAGAATCAAGTTCCAGAACAAATACACAAATTAAAATTTGAACATTTTGAGATACAGGTGCTTATGAGATCTCTGGCGTAAAAATAAATAACAAGCAGTTAGATATAAAAGTCTGACTTTTGAAGGGGCTCACTTGAAGACATGAATTTAAGTGTTCCTAACATGTGTGTGAATGTTGGAACTGTATTGATGATGAGATCACAGTAAAACATCTTGAAGAATGAGAAAATCGCCCAAATATCCAGTATAAACCAGTATAAAAGAATAAAATCCAGCCCTCCTCAAATGTTAGGATAACAACCAGGAGAAGATAACAGCACAGAGACTGAAGGAAGATAGTCAAGTGAAATGAAAATGGCAACTATGTTTGAAAGAGCAAATAATACAAGGTTTAAGAAAAAGTAATTGGATTAATCATCATTGATGAGCTTAGTGAAGAGCAGTTTCCCTGGTATAGGAGGGAATCAGTGAAAATTATACAGCATTGTATTTTCTCCTCTGTATTCTAATACATTTCCAAGTTATTTAAAGAATAAAAAAGAAATCACTATGATAGAAAAATTGAGAGATTTTTTTTTAAAAAGCAAATACCACACCCTATGCCCAATACAGCCACAGTGTCTTTCAGTAAAAAGGCACTGAGATAAATGAAAAAGAAGAAATTAACTTTTAATCATATGATGTCTATGTATTTATACTTTCAAATTTAATTCTAAAATTTAAATTGAATTCTCTAGATTATGTTTCAAGAAAATATTTTAGGGTGTTCTCCTAACCATAGTAACTATAAAATTACCGTAGCTTTATTTTGGCCCAAAGCAAACCTTCTGAATCTCTTCAATCTATTATTTTCTAAAATGTCTATAGCATTTTTTCATTCTCAGCCTGCCCACTTTGAATATCTGTGAAGTGTTTGATTACTTACGTTGGGTTGCTTGGACACTCGAGCCACATCCTGTCATTAGTGATTGCACTGTTGAGTTAGGAAATTAAAATGGAACCTTGACTCCCTGACTCTGTGTACCTTCTAATTTTGTCGCCGGAATATGTGACATGCACTGCATCTTGATTGAAAATATACAACTAGAAATGTGACAGTTTCATGCAAAGTGATACTTCATGAAAAAAAATGAATCTTCTCATAGAAGAACATTATCATTAAATACATTCCTCTTTTAAAGAATAGGACATTTATTTTTTGTTTCTTCACTTTGCTCTTTAAATTATTATACTCTGGACTTTTTATGTAAGAAAAATCACGCAATAAAGTCTTCTTTTTCCATGATAATTAAGTCAAAACATAAAAACGTTTTGCTTCAAATGTATTCTGACTTTTGTTTAATTTTTATTTTTACCATAGATTTTTCTCTTGTCTTATTGATAAAAGGAGGGGCCCTCTCTGGAACAGACACTTACCAGTCTTTGGTTAACAGAACCTTCGGATTTACAGGCTATCTCCTCCTTTCAATTCTACAGTTTTTATACCCTTTTATTGGTAAGATAACTGTTGAGATAAATATCTTAATGATTTAAATTAATATACAGCCACTTCTGAATAAAAATAGTTTAAATAGTCAGTTAAGAATCATTCAAGAAAAGTTAGTAGTTGAAATATTTCCCAAATTAAAGATTTACTTGCATTATTAACTTTTTTTTTTTTTCTTTTGGTCTATTTGGTCTATTCCGCATACTTTTCTGAGATAAAGTGGAGGCCATTTTTATCAGATTAATGTTTAGGTTTCCCTCTTGGCAAAAATATCCAAATGAAAAATACAAAATGATTGGAAGTGAATGGGAGATGAAACAGACTGCTAAGGCTCAGTAAACTTCTTTTAAAAAAAAGAAAGAAAGAAAGAAAGAAAACCTAAGAATTTGCAAAAGCCATGCACTAGGACAGCATACTACTTAAAAGTTTTACTATAATAGTGAGTATGCTACCTCATACTTTTTAAATAAATAAAATGTTAGGTGACCAAAATTACTTCATTTCTAAAATCAGTGTTACAGAAGTTACAGTCCAAACACTTAGTTCCCTGTGCTTTCACAGACAGCTAAGAATAAGTTTCCCCCAAAAGTCTTATATTTTGTATTAAAGAGTTATTTTGGTGCCTTAAAACTTGCTGTTATTATTCCTCAGTTTAAGCAGTGCATGTGCTCCTGAAAGAGTGTTTAGAAATTGAACTTTACTTACATTTTGAATGATTATCAAAGCTCGCTATTTAAAGGTGTTCTGGGATGAATCAATATGTAAAGTGAAATCTTTTTATAGTACAAATCAGTATTGTATCATAAATCCATTGTGTAATTATTTTTAAAGTTCTACATGTTAATAATCATAATATATATTTAAAAGTAGTACGACTATGATAATATTTGGAAAGTTATAACTGATTATACTCAAAATATTCAAAATGAAGTACATGATGGCTTATTAAGGCTTGTTTCAATTATATTTCTAGCTATGATAAGCTACAACATAATAGCTGGAGATACTTTGAGCAAAGTTTTTCAAAGAATCCCAGGAGGTAAGCAACAATAAGACTTGGGGGTTTAAACACATTTATTTTATGTAACTATCTATAGTTACATAATAATTTATAAGTAAAATATTTGAAAGTTAAAGTATTAGATTATTTTAGATGTCTTGCAATTTTCACGATCCACATTGATCCTAAACTATCAATCTACTTTCATACAGTTTAGTTTTTATTTAGCTGACTAAAACATTATTATTCATATACTTAAACACTTTACATTTTAAATTCCTTATGTTTCGTATTACCAACTCTCTATAGAAACATGTTTTCATCCTACTTATATTATGTAATTATATCCTAATAATACTGTATAATTTCTTAAATAAACAAGCTTTTGTGCCCTTATTTGTATTAATCTACAATGTAATGCAGTAAATTAACTTTTCTTTACTGTACATTCTGTGAGTTTTGACAAGTGTATATACTCATATACCCATCAAAATATACAGTCAAAATATACAATTCCATCATTCTCCAAAACTTCCTCAGGACCACCTTTTCCAGAAATAGTCTGTCATCTGGCAGCCCTGACCTGATTTCTCTCTCTGGACTATAGTTTTGCTTTCTCCATAAGACTATGCAAATAGCATCATACAGGATATAACTTTTGAGTCGAGCTCCTGACATTTGGCAGGGTGTGTTTGAAATTTATTTATGTCTGTGAGTATATCAGTAGTTTGTGTTTGTGTATGTGTGTGCATGTATGTTTAATTGTTGAGCATTCCATTTTACAGATGTACAAAAACAGAATTTCATCCCCCAATTAAAGGATATTTGTTTTATATCTAGTGTGGGTTGACTACAAAAAGCTTCTGTGAACATTCTCAAGTGAACCTTTTCAACATGTACCATAACCTCACTTCCTATTCAGCTTTTCACAGTATTGTTGTTGGAATAATTCAGAAATGATAAGCCTGTTTTCTTTGAAGAGTAGGATCAGAAAACTAATTAGAAACCTGTTAAAATATAAATGCAAAATTTTATAACATCACTTAAGCCTAGGTTCACCCTTAAGTTATTTTATATTTACATTTTGTGATTTGTTTCTATTATTACATAATTTTATGGAGTTTATTAACTGAGTCATTGGCATTTAGGCACCTTTTACGTTGCTTAAGTCATTTTTAAAATAACTACAGCTTAGCTATAAAGTCATGTCATCAATGTGCTACTTACACCTATAAACACTAAATAATATTTGTTGTATTTTAGTTGATCCTGAAAATTTGTTTATTGGTCGACACTTCATTATTGTACTTTCCACCATTAGTTGCACTCTGCCGTTGTCACTGTACCGAGATATAGCAAAGCTTGGGAAGGTAATTTTTTATATTTTAAGTAGGCATAGCAATTAACCTTGTTATCTGCATTGATTTTATTCATCCACAATTCATTTGGCAAAATTCTTAATTACAATATTTATTTCTAGCCTCTTTTGGTTTATGATTGTGTTACAGTAAACTGTGGTTGAATTATTAGCTTGCTTTTGGAACTGATGATTAAAGAGTTGATGAAAGTGAACTAAACATGTTCTTCTGTTTCCAGGATAGATCCCCTAATGATAGAGATGGCACATTTTTAAACTTAGAAAATAAAAAGAGCTGTGCTTAAAGCAATTTTCATTTTTCAAAACTGTTTCACTTTTGTAGGTAATTTCCACAATATTCGAGAATATGCTGACTACCACACTTTTCATCACTAGCTGTCAGTCATGAGCATAGTGTATCAAAAAGGTCTGTGTGTGAGAATTATCTGAATGATTGAACTATTTTTTTATTTCACATGTTCAATGTAGTTATAAATATTATCCTCTAACTGCCGAAAGTGAAGCATTCATAAAAAGCAAGCTACTAGGGCCAGGGATTTAGCTCAGCGGCTAAAGGATCTGCCTGGGAAGCGTGAAGTCATGAGTTCAATCCCTGGAACAAAAAAAAAAAAAAAAAAAAAGAGAGAGAGAAAAGAAAATAGAAAAAAGCAAGCTACTAATACGTACCATGTTGATACCTGAATATTTTCCTCTAAATACTACTTGAAAGTGTCATACTGAGATGTTCACATAATAAATCCCCTACTAAGCAAAGTAGTAAGGAGCCCTGATCTGGAGTCAGGCTTGCTTGCATTTGAATGCACTCTGTCACTTTCTAGCTGTGTGCACTTGGGCATGTCACTGAATCTTTATGTTCCTCAAAACAGCCAAGTACTGAACCAAATAGCCATCGCTTTCTAATTAAAAATTAACAATGTACAAAACAAAGATAATTACATGAAGTAAAATCAATTTGATTTGTTTTACTTACTAGAGAAATACTTATCAGAGAAAATAAAATGTGCTGAATCATTTAAAAATAAGAATAAAAGCACAAACTTTCTGTAATAAATTCATAGAGCTCATCTATGCACACACACTGTAGTTTCTATTTGAGCTAGTTAAACAGTGGCATAACAGAGAAGCTGAAGCAGAAGCACAGGTCACAGGGCACAATCACTAGGAAAAATAAACTACCAAAGCTAGAAGGCAGGGAAAAAAAGGCAAAGGCGTCTAAAAAGTAGAGGAGTAATATACATGCTGTGTTGGAAAAGAAAGGGCAAGACAATGATAGAAGACAAAGAACAATTACAATTTTTTTAAGGTACAAATCTTTTTAAAGCCTGAAGAATGAAGAAAACACAATTTCACTTTATATTTATAAACTGTAAGTTTCAGTTTCATATTATATGCAGAAAGCCACTGAAAACATTTAAAGCCTTGTTACAAAATTACAGCAAAAGTCATATTTGATATATGCTCATCTATGGGGGGAGCAGTACAGTAAGCTGCTGCCTAATGTTATCTGCATCAGTTTATGAGTATAAATCATGAAAGAATCAGATTTAGAAATCTGTGCATTTGTTTATACAAATAAGAAGGAAAAATACTTAATGTGTTACATAAAATAACACATAGTCTAAACCCATAATATACTTTCTTTTGCAGATCTCTTTTATTTCTACAATCTTAACAACGCTAATTCTTGGAATTGTAATAACAAGAGTAGTCTCATTGAGTCCACTAATGTAAGTTTTGTCGTTGAACTTGCTTGTCTTTGATCTATCTTCACATAGATATGTACATGATATATTATAAATGCAGAAATGCAAAGCAATCAGAAGTGTAAAGAAAATAAAGAAATATAAGTAATCAGAAAACCACTTATCTTCAGTATTTGAAAAATAGGAGAAAAAAGTTGTATATAAGTAAGCATATATTTTTCAGCTGAACCCTGCAAGATTAACAAAATGAAATCAAGTTCAGTCAACATTTTACAAGTCACCCTTAAGCATTAGAATAAGGAAAGGACTTTGAATAGTGGGAAACAGGAGTGAGTTAGAGATGGATTTATTTTTAATAGCTTCACCAGCCTAAGCTGAAATAAGAGTAAAGGAATATGGTGAGTCTCTTTTTCTCCATTAAACTAATGATAGTCACTTTGAAAACTGCCTTTTACTCTAACAGTATATTCTTAAGTTGTTTTGTTTTAAACTCTTCTATTGTTCGTTAATTAACACTGATAGTTGGTAGTGCTATTTATTTTTAATGTTTTTATTTGACCAAGTAAAATGTTGACAAGTTGATATGTTTTCCACATTTTCCAAAAATGTCACTCATCCTTGTAATTTAAAAGCTTGTGTACTGTTAATCTAAACTACAGTTGTCAAGTAGGTTTACCAGGTAAGAAAACCAGATATCTTATATTCATAGACCCAAGAGCATACTGGAATAAAATCAGTTTAAACTGGCTTTAAACAGAGTTGAATTTCCTAAGCACAGAAGTTTCTGAGGCAAATTCTCATTAGATAGTCTAGAGTTGAACTTGCTCTGTAGTTCAGGCAGGACATAACAATTATAAATAAATATGAGATGTAATCAAAATATATAAAATATGAATTTTTAAATTTAAAAATGCATTACAATCAAAGACACCTTGCCTTTAATCTTCCTCAAAATATTTCCAATCATTTCAAATACAGTTATCCCATCATTCTGAAAGCAGTTCTGAAAGTTGACTTTCTAGTGGAAAGGCAGGCTTGAAAATATTACAGGGCCTGCTTATCCACTGTACTGAACCAACCCTGGCACCCTGCCACTTCTGGCTCTTCCCCACAATCAGAATGACCCTGAAGGTAAACCCTTTGAATTGATTCAGGACATCAAGACAGTCATGATGGCAAAATTTTTTTTTAAACTTACAAAAGAGAACTTCCAGGCTGGAAATGTCAAGGACAATGAGGCACGTGTGTGTGAAGTGAAGAGGAGCATTTTTAAGGAAGATTAATGGCACTATGTCTTTGACTGTTATAAAGTTTTCAAAGTTTAAATATCTGCCATCCACATCCCATACATTATAAGGGATTTCTACTAAACAAGGCAAAGTAATGATATCTCAAGCAATGCAAAACTCTGGGTCTTCAGTGAGTAGCAGCTATGAGAAAAGATCACAAAAGAGACCTGATTAACAGCTCTAGTTAATAATGCAGCCCATAAAATAATTTTATTTTCTTATTGTTTATGTGTTGCTCTCCAAAATTACTCAACTGTATATGCTTATGATAGGCCTTTTAGCTTAACAACAAAATATTGGGGAAAAAACTCTCAAGTTTATTTAGAAGAAAGTATGAATAGGTAGTCTATTTGCCTTTCAGATAGCTTTGGTTTGTAAAGTGAATTCCTATTTTTAGACGATTTAAATAAAAGAAAGCATAAATATTCATCATGTTTATATTTATCTTTTCTTTAAATCTTTTCATCCTGATTCATAGTTATATCAGTCAGCTCATGCTGCCACAGCATACCACTACAGATTGAGTGGTTTAAACAGAGATTTATTTTACCCCAGTTCTGGAGGTTAGAAGTCGAAGATCCGGGTGCCAATATGTTTGGGTTCTGGCAAGCACACTAGTCCTGGACTTTAGAAGACAGCTTCCTGCTGTGTCTGCACATGGCAGAGGGAAGCAGCAAGATCACTCTGGTCTCTGTTGATCAGGGCACTAACCCCATTGTGAGGGCCCACCCTCAAGACCTCATCTAAACCTAATTACCTCCCAAAAGCTACTTCTCCAATACCATTACTCTGAGAGCTAAGGCTTTAATATGTGTGTTAGAGGGAGACAATTCGGTCACCAGTGCTAGAGGTTTGGATGTACACTTGGCCTGCTTCACCATGGCCATTTAGGGGACATTAGTGAGTGCCTATTGTTTGCAGTCATGCTGCTTTTTAATAAGAGCAGAGAAAAGCATAAATCAGTGTCTACTTGTCTCAGTGACTTTCTTCATTGTGGACACCCACAAGTTAAAGGAGGAAATGTTTTTTCAGCTCAGGACTTCAGTCCATAGTAGATTGGCTCCAAGGCAGGGTGGCATAGCAGAGGGACATCATAAAGCAGAAACAGTACATGGTAAAGCAGGCAGGGGACAGTGAAGCAGCAGCCAACAAGCCCCTTTTTCTTTTATCTCATTCATGCTATAAGCCTTTTGGGTAGTACCACCCATAACCAGGGTGGGGCTTTCCACAACCCACACCCAGAACTATGATAAAGCAATTAGTGGACAAACCCAGTACTGCACATCCTTAATCCTGGTGTTACACTTTGAATCTGTATTTATACAGACTTGATCCACCCACTACTGAAAAACTCCACCCATGAGTGTATAAGGCTTTGAGGGGACATCTAGATAAAAACCATAACTCTGCTGCAAGTTGCTCACAAATATGGAAAAGGAGTTTGTTTCTTAAAAAAATAAGAAAAAGAAATGACAAAGTGTAAGTGTGTTTGTGATAAGTACAAAGTAGAAGTATGAAAACAGGGGCAAAAACAATGCAAACAAAACAAAACAAAACAATAGGATTGCTTAATGATTCAGTCCAGATAAGGGAACTTTTCCCACAAAGTATCTATAACATCATATAGCAAGACCCTGTCTCAAAAAAAAAAAAAAAACCCCATGGGGTCTTGCTATATGATTTAGGTTGGCCTTGGACGCACTGTGTAGCCCAGGCTGGCCTCAAACTTGCAGCAATCCTCCTGTCTCGGCCTTCCAAGTGTGAAGGTTGCAAGCATGTGCAAACATAGCCTGCTTTAAAAAGTACATTTTCTCTTCTACTGATATTTATTCACTGTCTGTTGTGTCAAGCAGTTTTGACTTTCAAAAGGTAAATTTGTAGCAATAAAAAGTTAATAAGTACAATAAACAGAAAACAATAAATGATAATTTGGACTAAAATGTTAATCATAGGAGACCGAACTTTTAATTGAAAATTTTTAGTATGAAAAATGATTTTAAGAAAAAAGTCATCATATTTTCTTTAAAAGGTCTTCTATATTTGGAATATATATTATCATGAAACAATATTGATAGGGGAAAAAACTAAATTAAAAAGTCAATCCTCATTTGTGTCCCAGGATAACTGTGTAAAGTAATGATTTCCAATTCTGGCTTCACATTAGAATCACTTGAATAGCTTGAAAAACTGTTGATGCCAGGGCCCCACGTGCAGTGATGCTGACAGAATCGATCAAAGGGCCAGGTAATTGGATTCATTATTCAGCAGTTTACGAGTCTTTTAACACGATCTAGAAAAAAACCACTAAGATCATGAAGATACATAGACTGAAGCATCACTTCCAAATTTAACCAGAGATTCTATATCACCTTAGCTACTGTTGAACAACTATTTTTCATGATTCATTCTTCACTTTTCTCAGTATTTTATACACAAAATACCATGTGCAAGCATGAATACAAAGAAAAATAAAAGATCTTTGCTCTCAAGGGGCTCACAGTATAGTAGAAAAGATAAAGCCACACAAATGACTACCAAATGGGCAGTACAGAGGGAGGAAAGAGGAGCGGCAGTCTTCTTCTGGGTAGAGCTACATAAATTACAGCAAAAGAGCTAAGGATTTTGGTTGTAAACAAAATGTAGCCTACATCTTCCTCTGACAGTGATACAAGACTTTATCTAAGTCTTTGAAATTTTTCTAATAACAGGGATTATTTACTTAACTCTTTCAATATTTAAACTGTGATGAAATATGTTTTTTAATACTGTGCCACCTTTTATTTCTGTTTGAATACTACTGCAAACAATGTCTGTTTGTCCCTATTTACTGTCAGGCTAATTAAGTCTCATGTTCAGGGGTTGACATGGAAGCTAGTCAAGCAAGCTTCTCTCTGAAAATATGACAACAAAAAAATGCTTATAATCCATAAAACATGAGAAATTCAATATACCATATGTGGTTTTCTTCATTTTTGGTTCAGATGAATGATCAGAAAAGCTGTAGTTTTTTTCATAGCTTTCAAAATGATATTTGAAAAGATCTTTAAACCCACTATCAGAAAACAGGAAGGTCTGTAATGGCTACTGGTATTGACCTGGTTACTATAGAAACACCTTTTTAGTGGTTGTGTTTTAAAAATAAAACACAATTCAATTTCCTCTTCCATAACACAAAAGGCCATAAATTCTGCTTTTTTTTTTTTTTTTGATGTCATTTCAAATATCTCACAGGCCAAAGACTTTCAGTTTCTTTTGGAAATTATGTTCAGTTTCATTGTATTTTCTAATCTTTTGCTTTCTAAAAACTAAGGTGTCAAAGCAATTTAATTGTGTTCCAAAAGTCTGCAAGCATAAAAACACAATTCTGTTTTTTTTTCCAAGAGGAATGATTGTTGCAAGCCTTTCATTTTTCATTAATATTAAACTTTTTGCATTCAGCATGAAATGATAACATGCAATTCAAACTTAAAGCTATCTTCCTTTTATATGACATTTATTTTACAGCATTTAATCAACAGTTTTGTTTTCTAAACATAATAAATGTGTCTACACTTTTAACAGCATTTATAAAAAAAATTTCAAAATCCCCCAAAATCTCAATGCATATTATTGTCCTTACCCTATATCGATTTTAACTGGGCAATTTTATAATTTAACACTACACATAATGAACTATAGGGGGTTAAATAAAAGATCAGAAAATAATGGATACTGACAGAGAAAGAGTGTATGCTG